GCGCGGGACAAGAGAGCGAAATCCCCAACTTCAAAGGCTCCTTTCTCGGCCGTTTTCCACTCGTTTCGGCTGGTTTTTGGACGAGCGATCATCTCTCGGAACGGTCTCGAAGCGTGGATGCTTTTTCCGGGACGCCCGCGCGCGGAACACTCACGTTGAAGCGACGTTGAATCACTCTTTTCCTGCCCAGGCCCACGACGGCGCGGGCATGACGTCCGCGGAGATCAACGCGCCCGTGAAGCCCGTCTTCGCGCCGGCGGCGCCCCCGGGCGACGACGCCGCGGGCAAGTCCTCCGCGGACGTCCACGCCAAGGCGCCCGCCGCGGCGCACTCCGCCGCGCACAAGGCCATGGCCGGCGCGTCCGCGAAGAGCTGCCTCAGCTGGGACTAGGCCGCCGGGCCCGCCCCCCGAAGACCCCCGCCCCGCGCGCCGACCCGGCAGTCGCACCCCCGCCCCGCGCGCCGACCGCGGCAGTCGCGACCCTCGACCTGCACTCTACACGACGCTAGGGCGCCTCCGGGGCTCAGACGCGGCCCGGCGGCGGCGGGCGCATGTTGTAGAGCTCCGGCGGCGGCGGCGCGGAGAGCCGCTTGCGCTCGAACTCGACGCCGTCGTCGACGCGGCGCTTGATCATCTCGCCCTGCTCCGTGGCGAAGATCTGCGTGCCCTTCCACTCCATCTGGAAGACGGCGCCCGGCGGCGGCGGCAGGTTCGCGTAGTCCGGCGGCACGGCGAGGAGCTGGATCCAGCCGCCGTGCTTGGGCACGTTCAAATCGGGCGACCCGCCGCCGACCTTCCAGGCCGGGCCGACGTCGAGGACGAGGCACGACTCCCAGACGTAGTCCGTACCGATCCAGGGGCACTTGGCCGCGCGCTCGTCCGGGTTGACGACGGGCACGGTCTGGCACTTGCCCAGGAGCTGCGTGTCCCGCGGCCGCTGGTCCGCGTAGCCGATGGCCAGCGTCTCCTCGGGCCGGAGCTCGCGGCGCGCGGCCTTGCGCACGTCCGCGGGCAGCGCGTGGCCCGACGGCCCGCCGAGCGCGGCGACGACGTTGCCCTGGCTCCGGCTCACGATGCCGCCCTCGGTCCACGTGCAGATCTCGCAGACCTCGTAGCAGGGGCTCAGCGACCGCACCTTGAGCTCGCGGCCGGGCCGCGGGATCGGCGGCGGCGGCGCCCGGGGCCTCGGCTTCGGCGGTGGGGGCGCCGCGGCCTCGCGCGGCGACGGCGCCGCGGGCGCGCGGCGGACGCGCGCCTCGTAGCTCTTGGGCTCCAGGAAGCCCTTCCTCGCGCCGAAGAGGCCGGGGGATCCTCAGA